GATTTCTGATCTTACTTTTATTATTTCCTTGCTTCTACTTACTTTTGGTTTAATTTGATCTTCTTTTTTCTAGCTTAAGATAGAAGATTAGATCACAGTTTTTAGACTTTGCTCTTTTTTTAAATATAAACACTTAAAGCTAGTAACTTCTTTCTGAGCACAATTGCACCCCACAGACTTGAGTGTTACATTTTCATTATTATTCATTTCAAACTATTTTCTGCTTTCTCTTGTGATTTCATTTTGACCTATGGGTAATTTTCAAATATGTTAATTTTCAAATATTTGGGATCTTTCCCGATATCCTTTAACAGATTTTTATACTTAAAGTCGGCCTTCCTAGATGGTGCTAGTAGTAAGGAACCCGCCTGCCAATGCAGGGACATAAGAGACTCAGGTTCGATCCCTGGGTTGGGAAGATCCCCTGAAGGAGGACATGGAAACCCAATCCAGTATTCTTGGCTAGAGAATCCCATGGACAGAGGAGGCTGGTGGGCTGCAGTCTGTGGGGTTGCACAGAGTTGGACACGACTGAGCAACTTAGCACGCGTGCACACTTAGTCATGTGGTAGGAAGACACACTCTGTGTTATCCGAACGTACTGGCACTAATTCAGTGGTACAGAGAATGGTCTAGCTTGGTGACTGACCCACACGCACGTCATGAGAGTGTACACGCTTCACTGCAGGGCATAGTGTTAGGTGGTTAATGGTGCTGTTTACATTTGCTGCATCTGTACTGTTATACTGCCTGCCTTTTTTCCCTTTAATTCTTTCAGTTTCTGTTTCAAGTATTTTAAAGCTTTTATTCAATGCTCACATTTAAAACATTATGTGCTCATGAAGAACTGATCCCTACATCATTATGAAAAGGCCTTCTTTATTTCTAGCACCATTGCTTCAAGTCTATGTGGTCTCCTATTAAAACAGCCATATCACCTTTCTTCTTATTAGCCCTGTATGGTGTATCTTTTTTCAGTCTTTTAGATATCAAAGTATTTGTGTATTTAAAGTGTCTCTTATAAGCAGCTTAGTATTAGGTTTTGCACTTTAATGTAGTCTAAATTTCTGCCTTTTAACTAGAGCTTTTAGTCTACTTACATTTAATGTAATTATTTGTACAGATGGTGTTAACAATCCCTTTTGCCTTCTAGTTGTCTATTTGTTCTTTTCCCTTCCCCTCCCCACTTTTCTGCTTTCTTTTGCATTAATAAAGCATTTTTTAATGTTCTCTTTAACAGTCTCTATTAGATTTTTAGCCTTTCTTAATTGGTTGCTCTAGGGAATATTCAACCTTTGACAGCCATAGTCTACAATGAATTAATAACACTTCACGTCTGATGTAAGAACCATAGAATAGCAGTATATTCCCGTTCACTCACTTGATAAACATTCACTGATATGCTCAGTGCAGCTCTGAGCTGTAGGAATTCAATGCTAACCACCCCTTCCCCAGTCAATCACTATTTACTGTCATAAAGTAACTGGGACTCCCTGTTGGGGTATATGGTAGTATGACTTGGCTAAACATTTTCATGAATTTTACTTCATAAAAAATACTCACTCTGTCCAGATTTAGATTTCTAAACACTCACTAAAAGGAACCATGATTCCTAGGAGAAATGACTGACCCCAGGTCCGAGGCAGGGGGAGCACCAGCTAAATCTAGAGTATCTTGGGCCAAAAGTGACAAAGTGCTCAAGGAACAGTGGGGCCAAATGTGAGACGATGTCACCATCAAATGGAATATAACGACAATGGATTATCATACAACCAATATAAAACAAATTCCCCAAACCCAAAATCCACAGTGATAATAAACAAAGGGTGGGGTGTCTAGAGAAGAAATGAGGAGAAAGCTGCCGGCAACAGACATTCACACTGTGCAGTGCCACCCACAGATTACCTGCCAGTTCAAAGAGAAAAAGACACAAAGCAAGTGCAACCTTAACCAAGTGATCAAACTCAGAGTCACTGGTAATGGGACAAAGGGACACTTGAGCATCTGTGTGATACCATGGGAAGTTACACAGCATCATTTATATAGTATACAGTATTCTTGCCTCAGATACTTAACAGCACCACAGCCAAGAGGACAAAGTAAGACAAACCCAGAGTGTGGAGTCTTCAATGCCCTGGACTGGCCTGGACTTGTGTAAGTCATGAAATACACACACAGAAAGGTGGAGAGGAAGAGAGAGGAAAGCAAATGTGGGAAGAACGTTAACAGTGAATCAAGCTACAAGCTACATGCAGATGGGTGTTCACTGGACTATTTCTAAGAAAATTCAAAACTTCCTAGTAAGTTAAAATTCTTCCAAAAAAAGAAGTCAGTGAAAGAAGCATTCAATGATCAGCTTGTAGGAATGATCCTTCAAATCTGGGAGGAGGCACTTCCACCTCAGTTGGGGGACCTGATGGGATTAGTCACCCTGACTTGGTGCATAATTAGTTACCTGCTGCTGTGCTGAAGCAGAGACCCCCATCCCCGCCCCAGCAGCTACTACTCTGAGTAGAAAGACAGAAGGAACAGCCTGACTGTTGGGTTGATACAACTTGCCTGCTAAAAAAACATATTCTGGACCTAGAGACAACTCTAGGTTTGTCATAGCTTTTCTTCTAAGGAGCAACTGTCTTTTAATTTCATGGCTGCAGTCACCATCTGCAGTGATTCTGGAGCCCAAGAAAAGAAAGTCTGTCACTGTTTCCATTGTTTCCCCATCTATTTGCCATGAGGTGCTGACAAACCTAGACAGCGTATTAAAAAGCAGAGACATTACTTTGCTGACAAAGGTCTGTCTAGTCAAAGCTATGGTTTTTCCAGTAGTCACGTATGGATGTGAGAGTTGGACTATAAAGAAAGCTGAGTGCCGAAGAATTGATGCTTTTGAACTGTGGTGTTGGAGAAGACTCTTGAGAGTCCCTTGGACTGCAAGGAGATCAAACCAGTCCATCCTAAAGGAAATCAGTCCTGAATATTCATTGGAAAGATTGATGCTGAAGCTCCAATACTTTGGCCACCTGATGCGAAGAACTGACTCATTGGAAAAGACCCTGATGCTGGGAAAGATTGAAGGCAGAAGGGGACGACAGAGGATGAGATGGTTGGATTGCATCACTGACTCAATGGACATGAGTTTTAGCAAGGTCCAGGAGTTGGTGATGGACAGGGAAGCCCGGTGTGCTACAGTTCATGGGGTTGCAACGAGTCAGACATGACAAGAGTGACTGAAGTGAACTGAGAGACAACTGAGTTTATAATCACCACCATGAAATTGACCAGTAATCATGCACATGTTCAACTCTTCTGGGTTCCCCCTGAATCTAACACTGCCCACAACCCCTCAGAGTCAGGTCACAGGCTTAATCCCATCCACCAGGGCAGGGCAGCTGGGCCCTGCAGTGGGCTGAATCTTAACTTCTTTTGTCTGACTTAAAGTTCCAATGATAACACAAGCTCTGATGAATCCTAATATAATTACCACAGTCTCCAGTGATAGCTCTTTTAATGCAAGGGCTAATTTGAGGGTAAAGCAAGAACTCTTCTGTTAGGAGAGATTTTCGGCTACAAGGAATTAATTTTAGACCATGCCCTTTACGTATACCAAGGGTGATGATAAATTTCAAATGTCAATTACTTGCATAAGGAATAATTTTTAAAATGGACTTCACTTTTCATCATGTTATCCTGGAACAGTCACGTATGCTTAGTGAGGGATTTCTAAGGCACAAAATGAAATTTATAAACAGTATGAGTCTGTACATGAAGCCTTTGCCGAAATATATTAGCTTCACAGCTCCTTTCTGATTTTTCTGTTTTAAGAAAATGAGATGACATTTTATCATTTAATGGAACAATCACATAACTAGCCAGACTGCAGGAACATTATTTGGCTAGCAATGCCTTTTAGAACTCTTCCTGTTAAGGGCAGTGCTGATGGAGGAGCCTCTCTGAGGCAGGTTTGGGTGATGACTGGGTTCATTTGCCCAAGAACGGCAGACACCTGAAATTCAGATCTGTCCTCTGGAAGGCTCCAGAAGGTTCTGGAACTCCGGACATCCTGACACACACACACACTGAGCAGCATAGCCTCATGAAATCTGAGACTACGATGGGCAACAATGGCATCCTGCCTGTTTCTGGACACCTCAGTCACCAGGTCAACAATACTCCTGTCCACCTACAATAGCTGGGACCTGCTTAACTCCAGAGCCAGGGCACAAACAACAAGCCTCACTTCTGGGGCAAATGGAAATACAGAAGCCAAGTGACTCAGGTGGCATCACCCACACTGGACGGGATGGTCTCCAGATGGCAACGCTCAGCTGAGGGAAACGCCCACCGGTCCACCAGCCACCGGCCCTGCTCCTGGCTTGGGTTCTGGGTCTTCTCAAGTCAGTGGCGGTGCCGGGGCCTCTGGTGGCAGAGGTCAGCCCTGGAGCTCTCTCCCTGGGAGCGTGAGTGGGGGCCCTGGCTTGCTGAGTGTTAGAGGCCCAGGCCAGGGGTGGCTGTGATGTGGGAACATGGCTCCCTCACCCTCCTCAACAGACAGGTCTGTCCTAGTGGTCAAGGGGTCAGAGGACGGACCCTATCCCTGCTCTCAGGCTCACTCCTGGGAGCCGAAGCTGGGGCCTGGCCACCTGAGCAGCAGGGACCCATCTGAGACTTTAACTTCTGATTTTCCTTGTCACTCATCCCTACCATCCTTTCCCTTCTCTACAGGTAGAGGATGAGGTGCTGTGTGTGGGGGGTCCAGAGGGGCAGCTAGACAGGGGGAAAATGGAGGCCCCACGACCCACTGCAAAGACAGACGGTCCCTGGCTCTAGCACAGCAAGCTCCCCTCTGCCTGTGAGAGCTCCAGAGCAGTGGAAACGCTGCCAGGACGGCTCAGGATCAGCCAAAGTAGCTGCTCCCCTGGTTCCCGACAGCTCTGTGCTGGGGATGCGGAAGCCCCACCTCCCAGGGCAGGTCCCACGTCCACGAGAGCTCGGTCACCTACCTGGACCGGGTCCGCTTCCTGCTGACTCCGGGGCTGTTGCTCATCCGGTAGGCGGTGGGGACGCTCCTGTCCTCCCGCCGTCTCTCGGGGGAGTGCGCTCGCCTCCGAGGGGACCGGGACCGGGACCTGGGCAGAGGAAGGCAGGCGTTTCAGTCCTGTGTGCGTGGCAGCAGGGGAGCACCTCCACCACTGAGGTGGCGGCCAGCCCTGGCCTGTCCTCTGAGGCCCGCCCCCAGCCTCCCTACTCTGCTGACCCAGAACGGGATCCAGGCTCAGGGGCAGAGCACCTGTCACGCCAACGCTAAGCTTCTAACCGGGGCACAACTCAAGCTGAGGCTGTAGCCACGCGCTGTTGGCCAGCAGCGGCCAGCTCCCCGAGTGGGCGTCTCCCTGCGCCTCTTGTTGGACGGGGCCTGCTGCTGCTGCTTTTCCTCCCTCTTGCCTTTGCCCTAAAAATGTTCAGCTCAGTGATATTTCTATCAAAATTAGGGAAGGAAAGGCACTGAGACACTAGTGAGTTTTTCTACTTGCTCTGAATACTGGCAAGAGGAAGAAACTAAACAGAATCAAGTTGGAAGGTGACTTGGAAATTTCTCTTGTATGCATCCATCTTATGGGCGCTTAGCATGAAGAACGGGCTGCAGGCCCGCTGGCAGGAAGCCTAAACTTTCAATCCAATTCAGACCATGCCATTCCTTTGAAAATTTTGGCTAAATCATTTGTTTCTGAGATTTCTAATGTTTTACTCTTCCCTTTCCTGTGCCTGAAAAAGCACTATTCTATTCATGCAGTGTCCCACAGACACCAGCACACAGAACTCCAACTCCAGACCCTCACCTGTGGGGTCAGGTCCTTAAGAAGAGACCTTTAATAATGGGTTTAGGACTCTTTTGGGAAATCTGAAATAACCAGATATCTGAGCAAAAAAAAAAAAAAAACACAACCCCAAAACAAAACAATTTATTTCTGTTCTGTTTCTATGACAACACAGTCAAAACCAATGTAAAGAAGAGATGTTTTGATTTTTGTCATCTAAAAAAATTCTACACTGAATCATTCTAGTTACAACCAAACCTCCCAAACAACACAAATGGTTGTTGCAAAGATCAGCCTGTAATCACATTCCACCCTCTGTGTCATGGAGAAAACCCTGAGTCATTCCTGAAAAAACACCACAACCGCAGAATGAACCTGCTCTGGGATCAACTCCCCTGGACTCTGGGGCTCCTCCCACACAACTGCTTCTCAGCTTATACAGCGGTTTTGATTTTCCAGACCTTTCCTAAGATTTAAGTAACAGATTACAAAGGTGAGGTCAGTCAGACACCTTGACATTTTACCAGGTTTCCCCTCAAAAGAGCTCCAGGAGTCAAATCTGCTCGTGGTCGAAGCTGCCTGATAACTGTCCCGCTCTGCTGCTGCTGCCACTGCCGAGCTGCTCTGACAAGGCTCCGCGCTCAGCGTCCCTGGGGAGGCTGTGGGTCTGTGATATGGAGGTACATACTTCACATTCAGAATAAAATGTGCTGAGCTGGGCAGTACTAGAACCCTGAAAAAAGGGCTCTGCTTAATCAAAACTATAGCACCTATGGAACGCTCAGACGCAGAATTCTACAATAAACTCAATAATCAGGACAATGGATTAGTTTTTAATGTCTGCAAATTTGTAACTTTGAAATACAGTATCATTTAGCAGTGGCTATGAGTATTAGATTTCTTTAAAGTGAAGTGGCTGTTACCAGTAGATTTCAAGTCATCTGGGAAAAAAGCCCAACTCAGAATTAAGGGCCGTGAGCTATGCCAGATAATACTTGGGTTTTATTATGATTAAAGAAGCTCTAATGCTTTTATTCTATTAAGTAGGCTCTTAATATTGTTACCACGACACAGTGCAAGAAACAGGAATTCCATTCTTTACGTAAATCATCTGTATAACGTGACCAGAGGCCTTATGGAGATGAAATAGTCTGAATTCAAAAAACTTCAAGCATGATGCAACTTGGATATTTTTTTCTTAAATAATCATAATGGTTTGCTGTCGAATAAAAGCATAAGGAAATCTTTTGCCTGAACGATGAGATATTTATAAATAGCTTCTTCTACCAGCGTTTAACCACTTCTGTGACCCACTTCTTCACTCCTGTTACTTGACTACTCACAGGTCCTCGTGGAACCGAACAAGTTTACTGGTGCCCTGGCAGCAAGGATCTGGTACCAACTGGTTTGAACAACCAAGAGGACCCCAGGTTTTAGTTCTTTTCACTTTTGAACTGTGGACCCAACTTCACTCACAAATCCTTCCTCCTCTCCCGAGGGGCCAGTGTCTCCCACAGCTTTCCTTCCCGGCACTGTTATCAATGGCTGAGGCTCTGTCTGGGGTTACGACTCACTTCCGGGAAACCAGCATGTGCCCTATCTCCTCGCGGGAACGTCAGTGCCCACGTTCCTTTAGAGATCAGGATCAGGAGATGAGCCACTCACTCACTGACTAGATATGCAGTTTACCAGGGGGAAGAAGTAAGGAATTACAAATTTCAAACTAAAATATGACCCCAATTTTGCCCACCTGAGTTCTTTTTGAACATTAAATATAACTGTTATAAAAGCCACATTAACCTCCAGCCTCTCCTTGAGTGAAAAGCCCTGAGGGAACTTTACTTCAGGAAGTGACACAAGGGCCCATTATCCTCCACAGAGAGCACCCCAAAACGCGGGGGTGCAGAGTTCTACCTAGAAACCCCCTTAGACACAAACTAACCAATGAAATGACACCACAGGCGATCTTATTAAAAGCTTTACAAATAAACTGAATTTCAAGCTTTAGTCTCATTGAGTTTAGTTTTAAAATACCTAAACTGTTAAAACTGGATTTTAATTTTAGGCAGTAAATTGCATGAGTACATCTTTATCCCATTAAGATATAAAACCTAATGCGATATAAAAGCAGAAAACAACAGAGAAAGAAGTCTTATACTTTAATCAATGTTGATTTAAAAGACACTAAATACTGCCTTGTGGTAATCACTGTGCTTTCTGAGAAGCAACAGACTGATTTCCAAAACTAAAGATTTTTCTATGAATAATTCACCTTTGGAGAGCCAGAGTCATCAATAATTTAGACATATTTGATAAATGGGACTTCAACCACACAAGCATTAATACATTAACATAAAAATTACTTATGATAGTAAAGCTTTTTAATCTTAAATTTCTACATTTTACATAGGACTTTAGTAATTGAATATACAAAAGAAAATATATTTCAACTGTAGCATCCTACCCCAAGCAGAAATATTAACAAAAGTCATTTTACTTGAAGCTGGCAGTAGTCTTTTTAAAACAATCGATTAAACTGTGTCAGGCCCAAGAAACAAGTCTGATATATCCTATGTAGACATTATGTCTGTAATGGGTTATTCTATCTGAAAAGACAGTTAAAGAAATAATTAAGATTATTTATCATTATCATTAGCAACTTCAATATTTTGGTTAAAATTTAATTTTTTTCTTTTACATTTCAAACAATTCATATTACCAAGAACACCAACCTCTCTCATTTCATAACTGCTGCATTCAAAATTCATTTGGGTCCCTAGAAATTATTAATGTGAGCTTGGATTAAGAAAGCAGGTCTATAACCAGCTTAGAAAAAGATAACGGTTTTATCAAATAAAACTCACTCTTCTCAGAAATAAGAGCTGAGGCAGGATCCTACCTATCCTATCCTGACTTATGTCCCTGGGACCCAGAGACCAACCACCGGACAGCTGGTCTCCTCCATACATCCAGCCAGACCTGCAACCCACTTCAGCGCCTGAGCTCAGAGGTGGTCTGATTTCAAGGAGCATCACTGTCACATACAAGCTTTCAAGGCAAAACTTCCTGGACAAATACTTTGAAGGTTTTGTCTTAAAAAAACAATTTATAATGAAGTTGCACTTTGCCTTGATACTTTAAGCTGTAAAATCAAACACCAAAGATCTGACTTATTTAGTGAACTTAAGTCATCTGATTTAACTAAAATTAACTAACAGCATCACATAGCTACTACTGTGTGTGTGTGTGTCTTAGTTGCTTAGTTATGTCCGATTCTTTGGGACCCCATGGACTATAGCCTGTCAGGCTCTTTTGTCAATGGAATTCTCCAGGCAAGAATACTGGAGTGGGTTGCCATTTCCTTTTCCATAGATATTACTGAGAATTTTTTAAAAGTTTGAGAATTATGAAAATACTCAGCTCTCTTTACACATAAAATACTCTGTTGGTTAAATTAAGGTAAAACTGTCAGCCTGCCATCACAGAACTCATATTAACAATGTTTTAATCTTAATTCTTCTTTAACTGAAAATATACACTAAGGATTAGGATTTTGCTTCTTGTACTTGTCAGCACTGAATATATGAAAACAATATAAAATACACTTGTACATAAAATATGTAAGTCTATTCTAAAATAAAAGCTATTTAAAAAATAATAACATGATATACATAATGACTTACTCTACTATAGATAGTCAATAAAAACCATAGAAATCCTAGAAAGTTGAAATTCCAAGTGTTTCATGAACACTTCTAGTTCTGAACAGACCAACCTGGGGAAAAGTCTGTGGCCATTATGTCTGACCAGATGGGTTCACGTAAGGACTAGACACCTGCACCTACTGTTTGTACTAAGCATGCACCATGAAAACCAACTCATTTCTTACATAAGAAGTGATCTAAGGAGTCCTGAGCATTATCAGGCCCTCAGAACCGGATTTAGGAGTAGATTATACTTTCTTCTCTTTGAGCCCTGAAATAAATGAAATCTAGGAAGGATTTTACTGGGTATGGTTATTATTCATAGGGCTTGTACAGGCCTATTTATTTACTTCCACTATATCATAAGAAATTTTTTCAAATAAGAAATCCTAGTTTTGATATATACATACAAGTTCCTCGGGACTTTCAAAATTGGAAATATGTCAGCAAAGTTGTTCATTTAATTAAACAACAATGTGTGTGTGTGAGAGAGAGAGGGAGAGACAAGGGACAGAACTTCTAAAGAACAAGCAAAAATGCAGAGATGAAGATCAAATTTATTTATTATGGAGGTAAACCTAATTTCATTGTAGACAAGAGCAAATACTTATCAAGCCTTGAAGATCTGGTCTAGGTAAAAATTGGGAAGCATGTTGTTTTAGGGTATATTCAAGTAAGGCTAATGTGCATACAAGTACTGTTTTTTAAAACATAAAAAATAAAAAGTATAGGGCCATCTGCATTTTTCCCATGGAAAGGAAAGAAAAGAACATCAGTTGTAGAAGAAGTAGATTAGTACAAGTGCTGTGCTAGATGACATTCAGGAAGAAATCAGAAGGCGTGAGTTAAGTTTTAAAACTAGAAACGTGCTTTTCTGAACCTCTTGCAAGTCAGATGCTTTAAAAATCAGAGAAGTACCTGCTTCACTGAGCACTAAATTTTGTGATCCTTACAGGTTTTCGTGTTTATTATTTCTGTTGCATAAAACCTTAAGCTGCTTCCTCAAAAGCTGGCTCCTCAGAAGGTGGCTTTTGGTTGAACAGTGACTGTTAGTGGGAGGTTGGATTAGATTAATTGAGAAAACAGATCTGTGCCGCTGTGTTTCCTCCTTTACGGGCACTTGCAGGTGCTGTGCCAGTGAAGCTGAACACAGCCACAGTGCACATGTCTCTTGTTTTGGCAGATACACATTCTAAAGGAATTAGCCTGGGAAAGTCGACCCATTCACCAAACAAAACACCCCCAACCCTGTGAATTTTCCACACATTTTCAGCAAATACGCTAGGCTTGCTTCCAAGACCTGTTAAAAATTTAAATACCTCTCTTTTGAGAAAAACCTGGCAGTAGTTGATGAATCTTGGAAAGTCAGGTTAAAAAATATTTTGAAAAGATATTGCAGGACGCATCTCTGCGTAAAGGCACGCAGGTGTGCGGGTCTGTGCTTGCAGCGAGCCGGGGGAGGGGAGCTCCGCGCCCCCTGCTGGCGAGCAGGAGCAGCGGGATCCGCCCCGCACCCGACGCCCGGGCCGCGGGGACGCCCTGCACACTCACCTGGAGCGCCGCGCTGTCCGATAGGCACTGGGAAGACAATGCTTTGCTTTTGAGTGGGACCTAGACCTGGACTTGGACGAAGAATGGTACTTGGGAGACCGCGATCTTGTTCGAGACCGTTTTTTGTGCTTTTTCTTTTTCCTCTCTCTCTCTTCTTCTCTCGGCGGCTCTTTGCTTCGGCTTGAGCGCCCTTCTGGAGGCTTCACGTCTAGAGTCGGCAGAGGTCTGCCTCCAGCCAGCAGAGGACAGGGCACTGAAGCAGCCTCCTGGAAACAGAAGCACACGTCCGGGTTTCAGCAAGGAAGGTATGCTGCTTCAGAATGTGCGTTTATAAGATCCCGACCGTGGCGCTCTCTCATCTGTTAAGAGCAGCCCATGCCTCCGTCTGTGGCTCTACATCTACCCCCGGCATCTCTGGGAGAATGATGGCTCCTCAGAGGCCAAGAGCACGAATGCCTACCTCTCACGGATGAGCCTTCCTGTGCAGGGTCCCGTCCCCAGCCTGCCAGGCTCTGGAGGCTGGATCTGAGAAAAGAAACGCGGCACATGGAGGGCTGTGTTAGGAAAAGCGCCCCGCCTGCTCTTTCCTAAACAATTGTGACTTTCCACTTTAAAAAAGGAGGTTCTTCAAACTGCTAGCACCAGGTTTGGATCTCTGCTCTGCGTGAGTCAAAAGAGGTTCCTCTTTGATTAAAAAAAAAAAAAAAAATTCGTCACTAGGAATACTCATGTCTTTCTTAGGTTGTGGATATTAACTTACTGTGACGATTACTGTGTATTATATATGTAAGTCAGATCATGCCATGCACCTTGAACACACGGTGCTACATGTCAACTGTTAACTGGAAAACGGTCCCTCACCATCTGGTGCTACAAGGATGAAGTCACTGGTCACTGGAGTTTCTGACCTTTGACACACCCTGAAAGAAGTTCCGGGCAGAGATCAGGAAAAAGGCCCTCTGTGCTCTGGGAAGAACTGGCAGAACGTGCCTTCAGATAGCTAAACCTTTACAGGAGAAGAGTCTAAGAGCCATTCTTGTATCTCCTCATGTCTAGAAAAGCACTAACACTGCTAACGGAGACATCTCCTCATGACAAGCAGCCATCTTCTGCCAAAACGTGTGCTTCACTGCACATACTGCCTTAACCAAACTCATGTATATACGGACCCTGCCCCCCACCTCTCAGGAGCAGTTCCTCAGAGGTCTGAGAGGCTGTCTCCCGAGCTGTTATCCTCAGTTTTGTCCCAAATAAAACTTGATGTGCACCTTTTCTCAGTTGACACAATTATACCTCAGTAAAACTGAAAGAAAAAAAAATAAAGCCACTAATGGGAACCAAAGACAAGACAATCCCATCAACGCAAGCCAGCCTTACTCCACATGTGTCAACACAGCAAGGAGTTTCACTTAGTGGGTCATCGTTCTTCAGACCTCTTTATCCAAATAAGACAGATACACAGAGAGCGCACAGATCTTAGGGCTGCTGCCTACTGAACTTTCATGTCAAGACACCAGCAGTGTGCAACCAGAGCAGTCCCATTTCTAGGACTTGTTTAATATGGTCCAACCAGGAAGGGAATTACTACTCAACTTTAAAAATGATGTGGTAGTCCTATTTTATTGACATTAACATTGTCCATGTCACACTGTAAGATAAAAAAATGAATTTACAAAAAACAAAACCAAAAAAGCCACACACAAGAAAACCACAAAAAACACCCCCAAACCACCACATTTTATATTTGCAGTTGCAGCCACCCACCTTCAGCCCCTTCCCCTCATCCTGAGAAAGGTCATTTCCTTGATCCAGTTTACATGAATTTTAACTACAGCCACTAAACACCATACACAGAGATATACCGAAAAACCTGGAATTTATCATTCTGTGCCTCAGAACTTTCAAGCTGTTAAGTCCCAGGCAGGGGCTGCAGCCCTGAGTGGGTGCTGGCTGTTGGCGGGGGTTGGGCTCCAGCAGGCCTCGCCTCCCCTCTCCTTGGGTCCATTTGGACAAGGCCAACTGGACGAGGCAAAACACTTTGTGCAAATGATTCTTCTGAAGTTATGCTTCTTCCCCTGATTTGAGAGGAACCATGATGGTGGTCTTGTGGGGCAGCCACCAGACACAAGATGTTGCCCCTCTGTGAGGGGCACGCCCAGAGAACAGGGCTCCGCCTTCCTGTCAGCCTTCTGTAGTTTACACTTACAACACACTGTCTTTGCATCTTTCATTTACTGTGAGCTGAGAGGCAGTGGGGCTGAGAAGCGCTCAAGAACAATATGCCCAGCTCCCAAAGCAGTTTATTCCCACCGAAATGCCCTTAGTAGCTGGCCCCTGTAGAAGGGCACACAGCCGCCTGGTGTTCCTGCTGGGCCTTCACTCTTCTCCATCATGGCAATGCTGCCCAGCGCATTTTTAAGGTTTTGCTTCAACTGTCTCCAGGGAATCCATTTCATCATGAGACAGTTTGTATCAAAAATGTCTTTCTCACTTCAAATTATTTTAGTGCAGTAATATTTTTCTTCTTTTTTTTTGTGTGTGTGTCACTTGGCATGGCTTCAAGGATCTTAGTTCCTCAAACCAGGGATCAAATCTGTGCCCCCTGCAGTGGAATCGAGGATTCTTAACCATTGGACCGCCATGGAAGTCCTGCAATATTATTTTTTCAGGTTAAATTTTAAAATCATTGGTTGTTGTTAAACAATTCTAACATGTAGATACAAAACTGTACATCTAAGAACACGTAATTCCCACTCTGGCACTCTCTAAACACACATACAAAATGACACAATAAATTAAGACTAATAAAGTGTGGTGAGTTTTCTAACTTTAGAGGTTGGAGGAAGGGAAATGCTGCCCCCCTCACCCCCGCATCCATTGGCTTGTAGAGAACTCTGCTGTTGTCAGGCTGGAAAACCAGCTTTTAGTGCATTAAAAAAACCCCAATAACCATGGACTCTAAATTAGGAATATATATAGGGCTTCTCAGGTGGCACTAGTGATAAAGCATCCACCTACAATGCAGCAGATGCAAGAGAAGCAAGTTGAATCTCTGGGTTGGGAAGATAGCCTGGGAGGAAATGGAAACCTACTCTAGGATTCTTGCCTGGAGAATCCCATGGGCAAAGGAGCCTGGTGGGCTACAGTCGATGGGACCACAGAGTCAGGCACGATTGAGCACGCGCGTGTGCACACACACACACTACATGAAAAAGTGAGATGGAACTGGGGGTAAAAGTCACCACTAAGAATTTCCAGGCAAGCACACGCGAGGCCTCTAGGAATGCCGAAGGTCAGGGCCCAGGGACCACAGGGCAGTCGGGGCTGCTGTGGGGAATTTCCCTGGGAACCAGAGAGCCCGTTTTAGGAGAACTGAGACTCTATCTCTTATGTAAGTGGATGGCTGAATGAAGAGAAACACAGGATGGCTTTCTCCCTCTCCTGCACGGGGAACAGAACAGAACTGATGAGTGATAATGAACGCTGCACTAAGAGGGGGAGAAGGGGGAAAATATGTCCCCCCAAGGACGTCTGCAAAGGACAGGAACCAGGGGGATGAGGCGCTGCAGGCAGCCACGCCAGGCCAGCAGGAAGGGTGAGTGCAGCTCATTAGATGAATTCCTATTTATACGGTACTGCCAGGCTGATGATTTGTATCTCTGAACTTCATTACTGCTTCTGGTGCCTTTGTCCTAATGCCCATCGTTAGTAACGCTTATTTTACCACTGTGGTTACAGTTTATTTCATTTTGAGGTGAGGGAATAAGTAAATCAATATATTAAAAATACAACTCGCAATTAAGTCATAGGATCTATTTATTCTAACAAAATGATCAATTACCCTTCACCATTAAAGTAAAAATCAGCAACTTGAGGGTGGGGGTGGGCGTGGCGCTTGGCTGGGCAGAATTAAGATGATGCATTATGATGACCTCACTGTTTTTTCAGCTTAAAAATATAAAGAGGACATTAAAAACCCAGCAGTTAGACTTGAGAATAATAATAATAACAAAAAAGGATAACCAATCCTACACGCCCAGTGGTACCCCCCACAATGGTGACTCCAGGGGCAGGCTGTGTGCGCCAGCATGTCTCAGCGGTCTGGAGATGTATGCTCTCCGCAACATGCTAGTACTTCTGAAACCCAGAAACTTCATGACACATCCAGAGCCCAGGGCAGCGGCTCTTGTGACCACACCTGGAGGAAAGAGACTCAGGTCACACCTCTCATGCAGGGTTACCAGCAGCCAAGGGAGGAGCGCAGTTTAGCCCGCAGTGGTACCTATGCCCAGAATGTAAGTAAAAAAGCAGAGTTTAAGAGACTTGCAGAGATGCAGGTGCTCTACCCAAACATAAGCAGGAGGACCTGGTCTCCCAGGGCCCCCATGGCTGCTCGGGAGGTGGGCTTCCGTCGCCTCCAGTGTCGGGGAGCATCCCAGCACGTGGCACACGACAGGACAGGGGTGTGTTCCGGCTTCTCCAACTGCACCTGTGTGCACAGCTGGGGGTGGGCACACACTCCAGCAACACAGAGGAAGTAGTTCATGGATATTTATGACACAAGCCATGGAACTACTGGGTTGACCAAAAGGCTCCTTTGGTTTTTAAGTAAAAACAAAAGACACATTTTCATTATCCCCAAGAACTGCATTGAACAACATACTCATCATTCTATTCTACTACCTTCTGCTGTTTTCCAGGCAGTTTTATAATTCCAGGGATTCCCTGGTGACTCAGAGGGTAAAGAGTCTGCCTGCAATGTGGGAAGCCTGATTTTGATCCCTGGGTCAGGACGATCCCCTGGAGAGAAAAATGGCAACCCACTCCAGTATTCTTGCCTGGAAAATCCCATGGATGGAGGAGGAGCCTGGTGGGCTACAGTCCATAGGGTCGCAAAGAGTCAGACATGACTCAGTGACTTCTCTCACTTTTGTAATCTTTCCAACTTTTGAATCTTTGAATTGAATCTTTCCAACCACTCCATCTTTCCAACACTTTTTATCTTTTTGAGCCAGGTGCCTTTTACAGTCTTTCAGGAAACTGAAATTTTTTCCACTAAGAGAACTTTGTAAAGACTGAAATACATGGACATCTGAAGGTGCAATCTCTGGTGAACACAGCAGATGGATCAGAACTTCCCAGCCAAGGAAACAGCTGCCTCCTCAGCCAGGCAGTTTTTGCCTGATCATTAAAGAAATGCGCAATCTTGTGTTACCCCAATGGAAGATTCTTTGTTTTCTGTTGACTATTTCCAGACATTTCTTGT